TATTTATTTATTTATTTATTTATTTATTTATTTATTTATTTATTTATGTATTTATTTTTTACAGCTGGTGATGCAGCCTACGGAAATGTTCCACACAAAGCATTCAGGATGGGTCTTACTACCTCAGAGTCACCTCTCCAGAAACACCCTCAGATATGTGCCCGGATTTCTGCCTCTTAAGAAAACCTAGTTCCTGCCACACTACCTAGAATCCAGTCTCAACCTCAGATATCATTATTGTGGGTACTGCTCTGCAAGGGCCTTCACATTCAGGCTGTATTGGCTAGGTCTCCAGGAAGAGGTGGATCTCTCTTTCTTGGCTGCTGCCTCTTCCTCAAGCCAGGGGACCTGTTTTCTTCAGCCACCTGAGAAGTGGCCAATACCACACACCTACCACGGCATGGGCCGCAATACCAGGAGAATCATTAGACTCTAAATGTGAATACTTTTAGAGTCCATCTGAGTGATACCAGGACATTTTTGGCTTTGGAGAAATATCCCTCGCTCTGCAATATTGACCCCAATTCACCTCTTTTTGGAACCCAGAAAAAATGCTCAACTCCCTCAGACATTCTGTCTCATTTCTGAGACCACCAGGGCAGGATGACAGCCCATGGTCTGCTGAGCCATCTGCATCTGGCAAGGCAACCCTTTCTCTACTAAATAAAGGGCACTGTTCACATGGGCTGAGGCCTGGAGTCACCATTGTTTAGTGTGTGTGTGTGTGTGTGCTCTCAGTTTTATCAAAGGCAGGCAAAGTAATCTGGGGTGGTGTAGTAGGTAAGGTTGTCACGTGAGACAGTGGAGCTGGCACACGGTGTACACAGTCCAAGGACATCAAAAGAGGTGAGGCAAGATGAAGGGCAGTTGTCCAGCCACTTGGCCCTTTGTGGACAACAGGAATTTTAGAGGTCTGCTTCCCCAGGAGCCTCTTGGGGCTGTCCCTGCTGGAGTGGATGAGGAAGGCCCTGTCCTGCCTAGGGTGCTGGTCTACAATTAACATAACATCATTGTTGGCCACATTATGCACATTGGATCATAGATTCAAATGTTTGGACATAACTGGTCATGGTTATCAGTGAAGCTTCCTAAATCCATTTGCTTTCTTTGAATTCAGACAGGGAAAATTAGAACTGTACCTGTCCTAGGGACCCTAGAGTCAATCAAAGGAAAACATCTCACTTGAAGGAGCCCAGATTCCCAAAAGTAGAATGGTTGTTTTGGGGTTGCTCATCTAGGAATTTCATTATGGAGAGGAGACTTAGCTATCAAGACTGTGAAGAACTCTTAACATGGGGGATTCTTTTCATAGGGCTTTCATTCCTGTCCTTGGTAGATCCCTCCATTAGTGAGCCAATCATAGATAGATTCCAGGAGTTTAATCTGCAACCTGGGGTGAGGCCCAGATTGTGTCAGAGAAGAACAGTTGAATAAAGGGCATCTCTTACTAACTTCCTTCCTTCCTGTACACAGGGCATCTCTCACCAACTCCCTTCCTTCCTGTACACAGGGCATCTCTCACTAGTCTCCTGCTTTTTTGCCTGGACACAAAGACCAACTGGAACATAAATTCTCTGGGGAGACAAGACATCTCAGACTCAATATTTCTTAAGGAATCATCTGATTAGGGCTGGTTGAAGTAGAAGTTGGGATCCTTCTGTCTAAGTGCTTGGTGGTAGAATTTTCCAGTTCTTTAGAATGGAAGATAAGGGTATGTCTGGTTGGATCTTGGAGATACCTGTGTTCAGAGATAGGGGAATTCACTGGACTCTATAAGTTCTTTCCAGTTCCTAAGCACCCAACATATCAAACTAGGAGAGTTTCATGGTGAGAAGATGAATAATTGAAAAGCATTAAAATAGGAAGTAGGGGTGGGAAGCAACCAATAAATGGTCAATGTTGTCATACATTAAAAATTATATGGTGTTGTAGAATATTTGTTTAGGATGTGTTACTTCCATTTATGCTGTGGAATGTTTGTTTAAGAATGCAATGATGTGTTCTTTGATGTTGCATTTGTTCAACTCTGTGAAGCTGTGTTACTTTGCCTGCCTAAAATACCTGGTTGGTCTAATAAAGGGCTGAACGGCCATTAGCAAGGCAGCAGAAAGGATAGGAGGGGCTGGCATGCAGAGATAATAAATAGGAGGAGAAATCTAGGTTCAAGAGAAGGGGCAATGAGGAAAAAAAGAAGAACAAGAGGATGCCAGGGGCCAACCATGGAATAAGAAGCAAAGAAAGATATATAGAATAAAGAAAAGTAAAAAGCCCAGAAACAAGAGGTAGTTAAAGAGAAATGGAATAACTGATGTTAGAAAAGCTGGCAAGAAACAACCTAGGCTAAGGCCAGGCATTCATAAATAATAGTAAGTCTCTGTGTATTTATTTGGAATCTGAGTGGTGGGATTCCAAAGAGGTTTTTTGTTTTTTTGTTTTGTTTTGTTTTAAAGAAATGTCTACAATATGTGTTGTTTTTATTGTCCTATTTAATCTGTTACCAACTCTACCTCAGCATATAGGTGTTGGACACTGATGCTACAGAAGTTAAGAAACTGCTGGCTGGGGACATGGCTCACTGGTAGAGCCCTTGCTTAGCAGCAGCCCTGAGCTTACTCTCCAACAGAAAGCTGTTGGGGGTGTTAAGGAAGGGAAACATTATTTACTCCAAGAAGAGAACCACGGATTTAACCCAGGTCCATAGAGCTCTGCTTTGGTCAAACTCACATAGGTACAACAGAACTAGCAAGACCAAAAAGGCGATTACCTGGAATGATGCACATGGAGGTGAAGAATGTCACTGTCTGGGAAACCCAGGCACATGGGCGGCAGGCAGATTGGGACTCCCTCCACATGAGAACTGCAAGACAGTTCTGGACTTCAAGACAGCCCAGGAACCTCACCACTATGTTCTATCACTCTGCTTAAATGACACCTGGAACTATAATCTTCCCTTTGCCATACATTTTTTTTTTAATTTACACAAACATTGAACTGGAATGGCCTTTTGAGCAACTGCTCCCTTTTGGTTTCAGCTCCTACTGCCAAGGAAAATTCCTCAAATTCCTTCGTTCTCAATCTCAAGTGAACACCTGATTAATCTTGCCTCTCTGTTTAAGATAGATGACTAGTTGCCATCCCCGTCTTGGAGCTGGAGAGAACCAACTGCTCCTTTCTTTAGTGTCTCCATGGATTTTAGAAGTCTGGAAACTTTGGTGAACTTAGCTATCCTATTTATGTAGCTTTATGACTACTTTCATACAACAACACAACCACTGTTTTTGGTAAAGTTTCTATCAGTTACAAATTATACACTAATTAACAGATGTGAGTAAAGTGGGTTGAACCCAAGAAATGCACTCTAACTCACCCCATCTGTATCTGTCTCTCTAGTTTCCATCCTTTCTTCCCCCTTATTTTTCTCCCTTCATCTTCCCTCCTCCCTTTCCACTCGACTCGCAAACATTAGCTCTAGGGTTTTCTGTCTTATGCTCATGTCTCTCCCACTTGGCATGAGGGGAAACACCAGGTTCCTCAAACTCAGAAGGATCATATGACAAAACACTGTGTATTCTTTCCTTCCCATACTCCAACTGTAATGTTTATGACAGCCAATTAAACCATGCTTCCCATATGATCTCTAAAGTGTCTTGAGTTTACCTGTGCAACAGACACTACTCTAGGGAGAGCTTGCCTGACCAGCTGTCCATACAAAACTGCCCTTATTCAGCACCCTCACTTGGTTCTCCTTCAGCATCCTCTCATGGTCCTTATTCACCATCCTCACTTTGTCCCCCTTACCATCCTCACCTGGTCCTCCTTCAGCATCCTCTCCTGGTCCTTATTCACCAACCTCACTTGGTCCTCCTTCAGCATCCTCACCTGTTTCTTATTCACCATCTTC